TAGCATAATTGGCTGCAAGAAGCCCGTGGAAGGTGAACTGATTTTATCAGAAGGCAAATTATCCAAGAGGAGCTCACTTGGTTTGGAGAAAAGCAGTGACCTAAACAGGAAAAGGGGAAAGAAATATAAAAAGATGACCTTAGAAAAAAATCTAGCCTGGATAAAACCTGAAAACTTTGCTTGTTCTTATTGTTAAGCTATGGGCTCTTATAATGTTTCCAAAGAATCAGTAAGCCTGAAGCCTGATGCAACTCATTCTGACCTTGGAGTCTGCCTTCCTACAACACTAAGGACGTTCCAACTACTTGGCCCCCAAATGAATTCATTAGGCTGGTCTGAGGCTTAGGAAACGGAGTTTCTATTTTGTAGGCATCCTTTGCCACTGCTCAGCGCTAACTTTGACACTTAGACACATTCTGCATGCAGTGCATTGCCTCCAACTAACCACCCCCAAACCTCGAAGATCTTCCTGTCTCCACTTGCCCAAGTGTTTTCTGTACACTGTAGGCCTAGAGACCAATCAAATCCCATCTCTCCAGCATAGTTCAGTGCCACAGGGTACCTCTGCCAAGCACATCTCACTGCAGACGGGGAAGGGCAGGTGGGGCTCTAGGCTTATGCCAATTAAAAACATTTTTTGTCTGAACCTTTTCACTCCCACAACCATGGAAAACCAGGCCCAAGCCTGGACACAGGTGTAGAGTTATTTCAAAGAATGTGTATTTATATGACTAGATAAGAACATTATTATAATATGATAGCCCAGCTGACTTGAAGTTAACACGTAATGGCAGAGATACCGTTAGCCAGGTATCTCTGACTCGTTGGACTAAAATTTGCACATTGTTGGACTAGAAATTGTTGGTATTTCAAAGAACTAACATGTGAGTTACCTCCAAAGCATGGAGGACTCCAGTATGTTATATATGAAGCTTTCCAATTTTATTGCTATAGTAGTGAATTCTTTTTTTCAAACGTAATTTTATGTAGAACCTCCACATTTAGAATGGAAAAATGATAATACTATTAAAGGAGATAAGGAGGCCCAAATTGCCCCTGTTAAGACTGCTTCACACCCATAATATACTTGGTACAATCATGCAATCCTGGAGCTCCCTGGAATTTCATCTGCAAACTACTGGTCTAGATGAAAACCAGCTTGGATTTGGTGTTCTCAAGTGTGGTGTGTATCTCCTAATGTTCCTGAGCAGTATACTAAGTGAATTTTAACCTTTCTTAGCTTAGAATCATCATTTTGGAAACCATAATATATGCTCTTATACCTTATAGTTAATGCAATACAGTAGAAAGAACATGGACTACGGAGTTCACAGTACACAATGCACTGAACAGCTATACTTAAGCAAATAACTTAACCTATCCTAGTTACTTAAGAGCAAAATGCATATATCAAAATAATACCTGATTTACAGAGTTTAGTATAAAAATTGAGTAAAATAATGCCTGCCACGTAGCAAGTAACCCATAATTTACATGGAGGGCATAGGGAGAAGGAGTTGGTAAGACTGCTGTCCACCTAAACTCATACTCCTCATTCAGAGACTGAATTTCTCTGCTCACAGATTGGCCAAGTGAGAGGACTTACCCTCACCACCATTTCAGGGCCTTCTTTGGGACCGCAGAGTATTATTATCTAGTACCAACGCACAAGTCTGACCCATCTCCGTTGCAGGCCCGAGGCTTTCTCTCTTCTGTTGGTTGGGTGCTCTATACCTCCATGAGGCCAAAGTGTAAGGTGAGGGATAGACAGTAGTACAACCAAGAGAGATGACATAGGGGAAGCATGACCAGTTTATCAGTTTGTTGTACCTTGCAGATCTGCTGGGGCCCAACTAGCACAGGTACCACTTCCATCAAGTAATGGGTTATTGGGGCATCTGTCTGGTTTTATGACTTGGAAGATCTAATGGAATCATGTAGACTCAGGTTAGTCACTTACTGTCCCATGGTAGAAGCCCGGTCTTCAGTAGGCTAGAAGCTGCTTTGCTAAAAGTGAGTAATTTTCTGCCGCATAAGACCCAGACTTGCCCTAAACTCCTAGCTGTCTCTGCCACGACTCTTCTGTTGGGAATGGCATCCAATCACCATGGACACCTCTGGCATCAGCAGGTCTGCTGTATCTTGTGGGCTGTGTGACAAAGCCAATTGTCAGGTAGAAATCAAATGATGGAGTTCTTGAATACCTTGCTGAGAGTCTGCTTTTTAGAGTTGTTTCTAGATATCAACTGTCTTACTGTAGGTTCTGTAGGAAAAACAGAGCCTGAGACAAGCACTTACATACACATCATTCATTTGGGGGAAAATTTTGCAAGACACAGAGGCCAGGGACTGGGAAGAATGGAATTGGGATGTAAAGAGAGTCAGTCCATTGGGTCATTCTCATGTTGCTCACACAGTGGGCAACTGGGACTCCCCTTGGCTTTTGAGACCTTCTGAGGGTGAAGGTTCAGCATTATCCACCCAAGGGACAGAAGAGGGGGCTATTTATCCATTGACTCTGCCCTGTAGGTCAAAAGTGTCCTCCTGGAGAGTTGCTTACGCACTAGAATGGCTCTTTGTGGTGTTCCTGTGGCAACACCAGAGAAATCCGAGGGCTGAAAGGGTCCATAGGATGCAACCCAAGCAAGAGATTTTCAGGTCACCTACAGCCCATCACTGCAACCACTAGTGAGTAAAAAAAAAAAAAAAAAAAAAAAAGTAGCTAAGGCAGGTAAGTGGTTCCCCTTAAACAAAAGGGCTGCAGCTAGTCATGCTTTAGTAAGAATAATAAAGTGATCACTATCGCCCTTTTACTTTTTAGAATTATTATTTTTTTGGCTGATAGCTATCATTTTTTTTGTACTGCCATTCCTATGCTTTTCTATGGCACTATTTTAATCTCTCACTAATCTTTGATTTTTCTTCTGCTCTGAGTTTGAAAGCCAATTGAGTAGTTGGTTAGGACTATGCATAAAGTGAGAGTAACTAGGCCCCGCAGGAAGACTGAGGTGATCTTTAACAGGCATATGAGGATGGTAACTAAACTTACTGTGGTCATCGTTTCACAATATATGGAAGTCAAACCATTATTCTGTCCACCTTAAATGCATACAGTGATGTATATCAATTGCATCTCCATAAAACTGAAAAAATTGTTTATTAATTTTAATAAGCACATATTGTTAGGACTTTTGAAATATCTAGTTAGCCTACATAGTGCCTCTTTATCTCCTCTTAATTTTCCAGTCTCATATTCTGGTTGGGTGAAATGGTCACAGAGCCAAATTATAAACTAACATGGGCTATTGCTATGATTACACCATACAACGTTATTACCATTACTATTATTTTGTAATGAGGTAAAAAATTTTAAATTGTATTATAACATTCTTCTAATTATTATAGTGTTATTTTGTTAGTGAATAGTTACAGCCGGGACACATATATGAAAGTAGCGCTAATTGATTTTAGTTTAGGTTCATTATGTTAAAAACAAAAATTAAAGAACCGTTAAGCCATACATAATAAGATAACATAAACAGAACTCCCATTTCAGGATTCCTGATTTATGTTCCCAGAAAAGAAGGATATTTATTTTGAAAATGAAAGATTTAAATCAAATATCTGCTTCCTCCAGTGTTTTACAAAAAAAAAAAAAGTAGTAAGAACAAAAACAATAATGGGAGAAAATAAGGAAATTCAACTTCAAATGGCTTTTATCTTTGATACAGGCTCTAATAGTTTAAATTAACAAAGATTAAAATGCAAATATTGATTTTGGTGTTGGCTGGATTTCCAGGGTCTTTGAAATGTTTAGAAAACAGTCTGCACATTTCATTTCCTTTTTATTTGGACAATGCATTGTTGCCAGCATTTCTTTGATTTTCACATCTGGAATCACTAAAACATACAGCTGGGAAGAGCCACCAGTGATATTTTGTTTTCTTGACTAAGAACAAGAACCTTGGCCTGATCAAAGGGTAATCATCTGGGCAAGTTAATGACGAAATCCTAAGCAGTGAGAAGATGAAGGCTAAGGTACCGGTGAGCACGGGATTTGGAATTGAGTTTGTCACTTTACTTCTCTGAGTTTTGTGAAATGCTGTTAATGATATCGTACTGCCTTTACCAAACCTCCCGAATCCCATGTCTGCTCACACACATGGTAAGTCACACCCCCCTCCCACCTCTGCTGCTGGTCAGGGTCTTATCCACACATGCAGTAGATGAGAGAGAAGAGCGTGGCCCACTTTCTTGCCAGTGATTCGCCCCAGGTGGGAACACAGGACACAGAATATCAGGGGTGAAGCTCCATTAAAGGAACCACCTTGTATCTCTGGACAAAATAACAAGATACAGACTTTATAAATCTGATGGATTAGAAATAGTATAAGAAAGCCAAGAAGAAAATAACACGGCAGTAATCTTGTTTTAAGATCTCTGAACTTCCCTCAAAAACAAACCTAAACAGCTTATGTAAAGGAATAGTGATGAATATAGGAAGGTAAGTAGCTCAAATGGTCTTTCATTTTATGTCATTTAAGAGACACAAGAGTCTAAATTGGTACAAATACTTTGGAAAACTTTTTGGCAGCATTTATGAAAGTTAAACATAAGTAAGACCCAGCAATTTTTCTCCTGGCAACATATCTAATAGAAATGAGTGCTTAGTTCCTGCCAGAGGCACATGCAAGAATGCCTAGACCAGCTTTATCCACAACAGCCCCAAAACTGTTAATAACTCAAACATCCAACAGTAGAATAATTCAGCAAACCTAGGTCTAGCAAGAGTGCCTAGACCAGCTTTATCCATAGCAGTCCCAAACTGTAAACAACCCAAGTATCCACCAACAATAGAATAATTTAGCAAACCTAGTTCTGGCTATAAAACAGAATATTAAAAGTAATAAAAAGAAAAGAAATACTGTTACATACAATAACATGAATGAATGCCATTGACATGATGTTAAGTAGGAAAAAAAGATACATCAGAGCAAAGCTGTATGATTACATTTATATGAAATTCAAAATTTCTGAACCAATCTATTGTAATTAGAAGTCAGTTCGGTGGTCATCCCGGGGTGGGGGTATAGACTGGTAGGAAACATGGGGAAGCCTGTGGGAAGCTTGAAACATTCCGTATCTTGATCTTGGTCTTGGTTGCACAGAAGTATACATACAAATGCTAAAATCCCTCTGGCCAGCCACCTGAGATTTGTGTCCTTTACTATAATGGACATCTCAAATGGAAGGAAAAACTCAAGGTGGTGAACTCTAATAATACACAATCAAAATGGGAGGGGTCCTTGGGTGGCTCAGTCTGTGAAGCATCTGTTTTTGGCTCAGGTCATGGTCTCCAGGTGCTGGGATCGAGCCCCATGTGGGGCTCTCGGCTCAGCGGGGTCTGCTTTTCCCTCTGCCTCTGCGTCTGTGTTTGCTCTCTCTGTCTCAAAGAAATAAATAAATAAATTCTTTTTTAAAGAAGGCAAAATGGAAAATTACTATTGAAACTAATAATACTTTAAGCCATTGTTTTCTTTGAAGAAAGTTTCACTGGGAGAAGAATTCTTAAACTATTTATATAAAAATTTCAGAAAAAAAAATTTCAGAAAACCCAAACACCCAAATGCATATAGTCAATTAAAGTAGTCACCTTGGAGTGACTGTCCTCCAAGGACTGTCCTCCACCTTGGAGGCTACTGTTGCCTCCAATAAACTGCCTTGACATTATCTCTTGTTGTTCGAGCCCCTTTCTAAAAACTGTCTTCCTAAACTTTGGGATATTATTTTGAAAATGCATAAGGGGTGATCTTTGCCCTATGAAAGTGCCCTAAGTTTTTATAATGTATAAATAATTCGAAACCACTGCAGGCTGGACAGAAGATTTGCGATATGACATTTTTGTTGTTGCTCAATAATCAGGCACTGTTGACTAAAAAAATGAGAGTAATTATGCTGTCTGGCTCCAAAAGTATTTGTAGGGTTGATTCCAAAAAAAGTTTTCTAAAATGTGCAGATCTTTGTTAGTATCAGAGATTAAAAGGTTCAACTCACCAAAGCCTAACAGGTTTGCAGTCAAAAAGAACTTGGCTCTTGGAACCCACACAAGTCCAAATCCAGAAAATGAAGTAGCTTCATATTTATTTCAGCAATTCCACCAGGCATTTATCATTGCATACCCTATTCTCAGGAGGTACCACCACCTTAATTTACAATAGGGTAAGGAAATAACCCCAGGGAGCTTCATCTCTAGTCCAAAGAGATCTCATTTCTCTGAAGAGCCAAATGCCTCTCCTCTGCCAGTGGGGGAAGGGTAGGGGTGGCTGGGGTTTATAGCAGCGACATAGAAGTCACTTTCTCTCCAGTTTTCAAATCATCTATTTTATTTAACCAATACGTGATTTTTACTCTCACATCTTTTGCGATTATCTAGCCATTCTCACTCTTCTATTTGAAAAAGCACAGGATGCAGCCAGCACACAAGGCTTCCCATTTACTACCTCCCTGCAGGGTGATAGTGAAAGGTGGCTGATATTTCTCAGTCTCAGTTTCCTTGTTTGTGAAATGATGATGATATCATGCTACCTTGCCAGATGGTTGGGAAGTATTTAAAGAGCGTTCTTGGCTAAAGATCAGGGGAGAGTCCCTTCTCCTTTCTAGGCTCTGCCTTAATTAATCTGCGTGTTTTATAAGCATTAAGGGAACACTTAAGAGCTCCAAGATGAGCCAAAAAGGATTTTCTATAAGTTCTTTTTAGTTTCTTCTCTAGATAATATTAGGTATTATTCACATATTTCGCCCATTGAATTTTTAGCCATATTTCTTTTAGGAGGAGGCTTCTTTCTTTGATTTCTATCAAAAAAGTTAAACCCATAGGGGGTTGACGGAGACGAGACAGGTACCTTCTAATCTCATTTCTCTAGGAATGGGAAAACCAACCTCTCTTTTTTATACTTGACTGATGGAGAGTGATGACATCCAATCCCATCTCATTTCTTAAATGGGGCCCTGAGATGGGAATGTCCTCTCTTTTCTTAACAGCAGTCTGACAAAATATAAGCGTGTAACAGCTCTTGGGACAGAGCAAGATATAAATATTTCAGTGACTATCTCATGATTTTATTCCTTCTTCATGTAACTTATATAAAACCTTTCTATTGAGGAACCGATGGGTGCAGTGCTCTTAAAGGTGTGTGATCCATATTTATTTGGGGCAATTTGGCTCAGCAACATTACAGCTAAGCTTTAATTGCCTTGGCATAAAGTTACTTAGGTCATCAACTCAGAGACCACCATTTATGAGTATCATTCTTATTACTAACAGATATTCTTGTTGTTGAGTTTACTTACTTCCCAAATCTATGATTGCTGTTTGCATTAGCTTCTTAGACATTGTCACATAAGATTGTTCTATTTAATTTGTCCCAAATTATCACCACAAACTGAAGTCTGTTCTAATTCACCTTAGGTATTTGGAGCCAAGGTTGATACTCCCGGCCACCATAAACATCAAACCAAAATGCAACGTACACTTCTGAGTTATGTGATCTTCCTTCCTAGGAGAGCACAATAAATTTAGGCTTCCTAGCTTTATAGGCTCTAATAGGCACTGAGAGAACATTAGTTGGTTTAATTAAGATGGCACTCATGTAATTACCAAGCCTGATGCTAAAACTGCACAGTCTTATGTTATGTTAAAAAAAAAAAAAAGGTTTGATATGACGGCCAGTATCCCTTAAAGCAATGCCAGCTTTTTGTTTCTTTGTTTGATTTTTGGCTCTAGGTTTGTCTTTTTTTTTTTTTAATTTTTATTTATTTATTTTATGATAGTCACAGAGAGAGAGAGAGAGAGAGAGAGAGAGAGAGAGGCAGAGACATAGGTGGAGGGAGAAGCAGGCTCCATGCACCGGGAGCCCGATGTGGGATTCGATCCCGGGTCTCCAGGATCGTGCCCTGGGCCAAAGGCAGGCGCCAAACCGCTGCGCCACCCAGGGATCCCCTCTGGGTTTGTCTTTAACAACAAATGCAATAAATAGAATTCTAGGTCTCCCAGATTAAACCAGTAAAGCAAACCAACTGGAGCCATTGGTATACACACAGAGATGCGCCGACAAGTTAAGGAGTACAAATATAACAGAATTGATAAAAAAAGAAAGTAAGTGAACTGGTACTTCTAAAGGTAGCAGCACTGCAGTGCGGCTTTTCTAGAACTTGCTTGTTGGCAGAATTGGGACCTTGTAGAAAAGATCATCCTGATCTGAAGGCACGTTTTTAGGTTTGCATATTCATTCTCTGGCCACTACTAATTCTCTTCCTGCACGAACCTGCAAATTGAAAGCCATGACTCAAGTTGAACAACTTTTCCACTGTTTATTTCTAAGATTCATCGTTGCTATGTTTACCTGGATCCAGGGCTCATCTTCACTTCCCTGAGGAAGGAGTGCTTGTTGGATCGCCCAGTTGCCTACTCAGTGGATGCCGGAAGGAGTGCAGTGTGGTGTTAGGCTGAAGGCCTCCTCATGAGTTCCTTCAATTCTCTCACACTGGGGTGGGACTGATTATCTCCACAAGGTTGCCAAGGTTTATTCCAGCTGGACGGCTTCAGGACAATTAGGGTATGCTTTAATTACTAAAGAGCCATTTAGATTTATACAGAAACTGGAGAAGAAACTTAAACTATCTTTTTACTTCACATGCTTCATAGTTCTTGGTCCCTGAAGGGCCCAACATATTGAGCCTTTCTTTCTCCACTTGACAGTCTAAATGACCCAGATCTGAAGTATAAAAAAAGGAATTCTTTGAGTTCTTCACCACTCAAAATTCTAGTGAATAGTACTGAATACCCTGTTAGTAAAAACATTTGGTATAAAACTAGGTATTGCTGAACTTACTCTTTTACCCTCTTCGCATACTATTTAGTAGTGCTGATATAGGATGTATAAAGACAAGTTATAATTAGCATTTGTTCCAATCCACTGATTACTTCTGTAGTTAATAAAACAGTTGCTCTCCTCCCAAATGAACTGCATTCCCATACAATCTAGTCTCGACTACAGATAATGCCCAAGTATATGATTTGTTCTATAAAAACATATATTGGAAGTCCATGGTTGGTTTCCATGTACAGCCCTCTCCACAAAGGCCTGCAATATAGTTTCAATCCCCTCCAGACTTCTGCTACAGAGGTTAAGATATGCTATAAGTTGACTTGCTTCCATCACAGAGAAATGTTTTGCATTTCAGGTTCTAAATAGACAGAAAGGCAGAAGGCCAGGATGATTCTAGGGAAGTTATTTTGCAACTTCAGCGTTGGGAATTAATAGCCTTCATAAGAGGTAATGAGATTATGGACCATTAGGATGGACTAAAGGCTTTAGGATTTGGTATTTGTCTGAGTTCTAGTTTAACTGAGTCCCAAGAGATATATGATAACTATGCCCAAATGAATGCTATTCTATAAATCCAGCCCAGCTGGGTGACTAAAGACCTTTCTCAAAGCCTCATGCCATGCCTCCTTGTTAAGGGCAGGGTCTTGGGAAGGATCTGTTGATTTGGGTGAGTGTGAAGCATACACAGTGACTAGTATAGAATCTAGAGATATTTAGCTGATTGAGATGAATACAAATTCTGAATCTTTTGTAATAATCTGATAAAAGGTCGACCCAATAATATCCGTTTCTCCTTTGGAAGTAGTTAACTACTAAAACAGGAATTCTCAGGAAGACTCCCTGAATTAATGACACATGCCCTTTCAGACTTACATGCAACAGAAGACAGAGCTTCAGACACTCCTGTCTCTGAATTGCCTTTAATCAATATGCATTTAGTACTCTGAGTAATAGTGATATGCTAATCAAGTCCAAGACACCTGTTTAAATCCCACCACAATGAGATAACATATGCAAAGACTAGCCCAGAACTGGGAAGGGTTAGCATCTTTCTTTTCCCTTAGCAAGCATGTAAGTATGGCTGTCAAAATGAGCTTATATATGTAAAAACAGCTCACTGCAGAATTTTGAGATAATATTATTCAGCTTTTTGAGGAGTCATACCTAACTGAAAGAATATAAGTAATTGTTTAGGGAATTTACTTGGGCTCTTTCATGCAATTACTAGTCATTTCATCAATATTATTTAAGTAAAAATTCATCAAGATTATAATCCATGCTAATAATGTAATCTATGTCTAAAACTTATATACAGGATTTTTCATTAGTATTTTATGTATTTATAACTTTTAAAATGAGGAACACTCTCGTACAAAAAGGTATCTGGTTAAAAAATATCTGGTGATATTTCATAACTTAAGACCGTGCCGGAGGGGTGCTTGGATGGCTCAGTCACTTGAGCATCTGACTCTTGATTTTGGCTCAGGTCATAATCTCAGGGTCCTGGGATCATGCTCTGCATAGGGCTCCTTGCTCAACAGGAAGTCTGCTTAAGGGTCTTTTTCTCTCCCTCTTTCTGTCTCTACCCACTGCTTTCTCCCTCTCTCTGTCTACAATAAATAAATAAATTGTAAAAATAAAATAAAAACTATACTGGAAAAAATATTTAGTGACCTAGGAAAATAATCATGATTAGTTTTGGGGTAAGAAAAAGAGGTTGCAAAATAGTAGGTAGAGAGTATATGTTAAACACACACAGGCCCATACATAGAGATAGATAAGGGACTTTTTCAAAGATGTGTAAGAATTATACAAAATAATAGTGTAGAAATTCTGGGCTTTTAAAAAATTCATATCTGTACTTTACTGTGTATACTTCTCTCAATGAATGTGCATTACTCTACATAACAGGAAAAATACACTTATTACAAAAGAAAAAGAATAGACATAATAAAAACAATTAGCCAAACTGGTCATAAGAGATTGTGTAAGTAAAACACCTCGTGGACTGAATTTCCCAGTTTTCCACCAGTTGTTTGGATTATGTAGGCTTAGCCTCATTCGCCAGTCTAAAAATAGACTTCTGGAGAGTCAGACTCCCACAAAAAAGAAGTAGATAGCAAGAGCAGAGGTTATTAATTTGTCCATTCGACCCATCATCCGATTCCCTTGTCTCATGAACCTCCAGCCCAGGGGGAGTTTGTAGCTCAGTGTAGCAGTTAATTCCCAGCAGGGCTACGTGAGTGTTTGTGGTGGAGGTGGCCTGGTGGTCTAGAGAGTGGAGAGTGGTCTTAAGCAGATGTCCAAGAAATCCAGATGTTAACGAAGATCACTGATTGTAAAAATACAGCAATATTTCATATCATTCTAATAGGGGAGATGCAACAAAGCAAAGGCCAAAAGCAAATTTCTGCAGAAAAATAGCCATCTGGGGGTACCTGTATGGCTCAGTTGATTAAGTGATCAACTCTTGATTTCAGCTTAGGTCATGATCTCAGGATCATGAGATCAAACCCTGCATCGGTTCCTTGCTCAGCTGGGCACCTGCTTCTCGCCCCCTGCCCCTCCCCTAGCTTGCACACACTTGCTCTCTTTAAAAATAAATAAACCTTTAAAAAAAAGAAAAAATAGTCATCTGAAGCATAAGTTCAGATTATTTTTGCTTATCATAGAAGACCTAGAAACTTAGCCATACACCAAGCATGTAAGACGTTTCCTCTTACTTAAATGAAAATAAAAATCATACATTTCTAAGGGATTAGGCTTAATCGGAAAATAAATGTTACTTGGGATTTTAACACACATTTACTTACCAACACTAAATCATGGCTAATTTACTTGCTTTGACTGTCTTTATTTTTGAGGAAGAAAGTGAACATATAGGCATCCTAGTAGGTACTGGTCTCTGTTATTTTGTCTATTTTTCACTTTCACTGCCTTATTTTAACTTGAAATAGGTTTTGAATATACAATTTCTAGGGGCAGTCATAACATTGTCTATATCATCCCTGTGTGCCTGCTAGGAGAAAAGGAAGAGGCCAACGCTTCCTGGTTCTGGGCTAGTTCTTGCACATATTATTTCATTGTGGTGGAATTTAAACAGATGTCTTGGTCTTTATTAACATATCACTAACACTCAGGATATTAAATGCCTATTGATTAGAGACAATTCAGAGACAGAAATATCTGAAGCTCTGTCGTCTATTAAATGTAAGTCTGAAAGGAAATGCATCATTAATCCAGAGAGTCTTCCTGAGAATTCTTGTTTTAGAAGCTATTTCTAAGCAGAATTATAGACATTATTGGGTGGATCTTTTATCATATTATTACAAAAGAATTAGAATTTGTGCTCATCCCAATCAACCAAAATGCCATTGGATTCTATACTCTTGGCAGTGTATGCTTTCTGGAAATGTAAAAGTTCAAAGTAAATAAATTCTAGAGAGACCTTTCTTGAAATGTCATACTTTAATAAAATATTGTCGTATATTTATTCATTGTATTTGCTCGTTATTGGGTTGTCTTTTAAAATATATATATATATATATGTATATATATATATATATATAACCAGAGAGAATGAGCTGATATTCTGCAAGTGTCAGTGGAATCTAAGTACCTGCCTCTGCATCACGGCTTGCTTCTTCTGAAGGCATAGCTGGGGAGAGGCATGCAGAAAAATCTCGGGTAGGCAAAGATAAAATTGTAGCATGTGGATTTTAGGTCTGACCCTGAGTGCTTGAGATGGAATCAGGCTTTTATTTTTATTTTTTTAAAGATTTTTAAATTTTTATTTATTTATTCATGAGAGAGAGAGAGAGAGAGAGAGGGAGAGAGAGAGAGAGAGGCAGAGACACAGGCAGAGGGAAAAGCAGGCTCCACGCAGGGAGCCTGAGGTGGGACCCGATCCCAGGACCCCAGGGTCAGGCCCGGAGTTGAAGACAGATGCTCAACCGCTGAGCCCTCCAGGCGTCCAGGAACCAGGCTTTTAAAGCAGGTGTTATGTATGACTGAAGGTGTTATACGTGGCATCTGATCAAAATTATGCTATTTCATTCTCTAAGGAGGCAGCAAGCTGTAGATTGGAAACATAAATAGGATTTTTTAAGCTAGACTTCCGACCTACCCCCCTGGCTTAGGGTCAGCTCTCCCTCAGGATGCCGCCGCTTACCTCTTGGCTCTACCGAATGGGATCGTAATGTTCTTACTCTACTGTAACATGTATGACATTTGGCCACATACCCTGCCCCCCGTGTCACCCTGGCCCCCACATTCTTGATTTTCCCTCTGGAAGTCCATGTTTCCTTTCATCCATAGTACTTGCCAATTTGTGATGCAGTACATAAAGTACTGATTTATTATGTCTTTTATAGTCTCCACTACTAGAGTATAAGCCTCATGAAGACAACGCTATTCTCTACTTGTTCATTAATCTGCCGCCAGCACCCGGAATACTGCCTTCCTTATAAGAGAAGCCCCTTATGTTGTTTTTAAGTGCATGAAATGCCTTATGTGTACCATATGCTCGAATGAGATATTGTATGAGTTGTACATGTAAATAATTATTATTTTTTTAATTCAAGAATCAACTACTAAAACTATTATGTGGGTGCACCC